ATACAATAGTTCATAAATAATAATACAAGAATAAACTTTCATTTCACATACTCACAACTATAAACTTACTTTTGCCCCACCCTGTATTTTGAAAGAAATGAAATTATAATATTTTCAAATTTATGTTTTGCAAGTCAGGGTCTTGGGAAAATAAATGAGGACTGATGCCTTGGTTTTCCAATGGTCCTGGAGGACTTTCCACATTATAATGACTCAAACATAATATGATGTATGTCCAATAAGTAATAGTTGACTGAAAAAATACAATCATATATCAAAATAAAATATTTATGGCCCATGCTGCTTTAGATATTATTTGAGAGCAGCTTTCATACTCAGTCAGCCCAAACTGGATTTCAGAGATAAGATTCCAATGGTCCTAGAATGCATAAGCAGTACCCAAAAGAAAATGTGATATGAATGGCTGAACTCTGTTTTGGTGCCATATATTGCCCACACCAGCTAAGGTTTTGTGTTCCAACTATAAATCAAGCAAATTCACAAATTAAAACAAAATAAAGAAATATAATGGCATGACACATTGTAAGGAAATCTAAGATATGGAACAGGAAATAGTGTTTTTGGAGGGTAAAAATCCAAGTTAGTAACTTTTAAACACTATAACACAAAGTATTTATAACAAGTAAACTTTTCTCAAATTTATCTAATTTGTTATGCCTTTTGCTTATACAATGTTCAGTTTACAATTGATGGAACATTATTTACATTTATTATAGAAACTATTCCTAGGAAATACATGGGGAGTATTAGCATTTCTTTTTTTCATGAAATTTATTGGGGTAACATTGGTTAATAAAATTATATAGGTTTCATGTATATGTTTCTATATTAGAGGATCTGTATATGGCATTGTCTGCCCATATTCTTAAATCAAATCATCTTCTATCACCATATATTTGGCTCCCATTCCTTTTACTACTCTCTCACCCACTTCCCTCTGGTAATGACCATAGTGTTGTCTGTGTCTATGAGTTTCAGTTTTATATCCTACATATTAGTGAAGTCATATGATTCTTAGCATTTTCTGACTAACTTATTTCACTCAGCATAATATTTCAAGGTCCATCCATACTGTTGCAAATGGCAGTATTTCATTTGATGCTTACAATAAAATGTGTGCATTTTTCCTCCAATGCACTGAACAATCTTCTAGATGATCATGAAATGTTTGTCTGCTTGAGCAGTGCTTGTTTACATAGATAGCTTTATGACTGTAAAACATTGTCAGATTACTTTGGTGATGGAACTGCTTTTGGGCTTGATTTTCCCTTTCATCTGGTTGTTTTGAGTACCATAAAGACTGTTTTTCATTCAGAATTAATTCTACTTGGTGACCCTCCAGCAAGCATGCTGACCCCTCATAATCACAGCCAAATATATTTTTTCTAATTACTTGCTACACTGTAATGTGCCACAGGCTGAATGTTGAACCAATGTACTTTCAGAGACCTTCACACAGAACTGAGTTTGGAAAGGTGCACAGATGGCCTGCAGTCAATGTAAATATATATACATATATATTTGACTATGTAGATGAATATATATAAAATGTGTTTTTAATATGGAGGGTGTTCCCCCAAAATACACATACACTTTTAACAGCCAATAACTCACTTCTGAAAATGAAATATAATATTTTAATAAAATATTGCTTTTTAATTATTCAAAGTATGTGTATATATATTTTGGGACACTGTATATTGAGAACTAACTTTCAATCAATAAATGAATCTTACTTTTTTCCTTTATGTAAAGCATTCTTACTTTCCCCCTAGTCTATCCTCATGGGATCCTATGGTGTGGATTTTTTTGGGAAAATATATTCTAGAAATGTGTGTTTACGTTATACACACATACACACATTTGGGATAAAAGTATAACTTCAGAAGTTTCCTATTTTAAAAAATGAATTCCTGACCACTATTGTTCATCCCCTCCAGGACTGACCTCCCAGGTTGAGAAAACAAAGCCTGGGAAGAAGTCCAAATAATCTTACAATAAATGAAATCCTTACATACTTGAGGAAGCAGCTTGAGATCAGGGAGCAAATTCACATACAACCTCATCTCCAGATGTGCCCTCCTTTGCATTTTTAAGCCTACACTGGATCAGTCATCTAATTTTTAAAAAATTTGCTTATATTAAGAGCTACCAACTTATTATATTTCAGGCAAGATTTTTCCAAATCCAAGGTTTGTGTGTGTTGTTGTTTTTAAATAACCAAGTTCAGTAGTGACATTTAATACTGATTAGGTTAAGTTACAATTGTAGTCTTAATGAATGTTTTAAAAATCTAGACCAAATAATTAGCAGCAGCAGCAGGCACCAAGAATTTTTGGAGCCCCCCTAAAACATCCTGAGCAATCTCTGTGTTGAAGTTCTTTTGGTCTATGGAAAAAGTGGCAAAAGTAGTTGAAAGTAAATGAGCTGTTTTTTCCATTTAATTCAAGATGTTTTCAGTGCCCTAAATAAAAGACTTTAGAAACTGTTATTTTTTTTCTTCTTCTGATCTTTATAATGTCCCTTGAATTCAAAGCTAAGCTGGCACTTTAATTGTGGGCAGGCCAAAGTAGGGTATTCATAGACTGGAATGAATGCTAATTTGTCAGCCAGATTAAATTATGCATGTTCTCCTATCTTTCAATTTCCCATGACTGTTCACAGTTGGAGGTTGCTTTTCTATTCCTGGTTTCACTGCTTCCTCTAGAAATCTTTCCAATTGAATCATCTGGATGTTTTCCTGTTAGCAAGAACTATTTCCCCCACCCGGAAGCTCCCACCTCCTCCTATAAGGATATTTGTTGAATGTTGTGCATGAAGATGATAGTATATGAACAATTGTAAAATGGAATGCTTTGAGATTAGGTGAATTTTATTTCCAAAAACAACTGAAAGAGAAAATAGACCATGAAGTGACCTGTAGTGAGCAAAATGGCCACATTCTTATTTGTTATGGGAAAGGATGTTGAATAGGTCTTATTTAAAATTTGTCATAACTTTATATAACACACTTGTGTAGAATTTTACTCTGAAAGAGAAAACTTCCATAGATTGCCATTTCTATATATGGCTTGAGAAAAACTACCTTTGCAAAGCAAAGAAAAAATAGCAAACAAAGTAGTAAAGGCCAGTAGTTGTCAAGTTACATTCCAGGTGTTCCAGGAGGCACTGAATTAGATGAGGGAACGCCATGCAATGGACTCAGCCATGGATGGACAGAAACACTGAGAGAAACATCATGGACTGGCTGCAGGTCCCCTACTGGGGGTGAAGCCAAAACCCAGCCATGAGCCCTGACCTAGAGTCAAATTGTGACCTCTTGGTTCCTGGGTCAATGCTCATCCCCTGAGGCACACATGTGGGCTGGATTTTTAATGTAATCTAGCTGCTGCTTTAAAAACAAAAATGTTTTGAAAACCACCAAATTTGACATGAAGAATATACAAAGGGAATGACTGATACAAATAAACTAATTTTCTGGCAGTCTTGAGCCTTCTGGCAAGATGTCTAGTATTTCTTGAGAATGAAGTTTCTGATTTGTTTGCTTTGCTGTTGCTTACTCTGCAGCATGACAAAGACTCCAGAAATGCTTTCCTCCTGTGTATCAATAAATGTACTATCTTAGTCAATATCCTCTTGAATGATAAAAGGGCTGTCAAGATTTCTAGAAAAGGCACCGAAACCAGTTTGGCTCAGTGGTAGAGCCTCAGTCTGCGGACTGAAAGGTCCCAGGTTCGATTCCAGTCAGGGGCATGTACGTTGGTTGCACGCCCATCTCCGGTAGGGGGTAAGAGGCAGCTGGTCAGTATTTCTCTCTCATCCATGTTTCTAGCTCTCTATCTCTCTCCCTTCCTCTCTGTAAAAAAATCAACAAATATATATATATATATATATATATATATATATATATAGAGAGAGAGAGAGAGAGAGAGAGAGAGAGAGAGAGAGAGAGAGAGATTGAGATTTCTAGAAAGGCCTCTTCACTGATTTTCTAGCAGTCCCCATCATTGGATGAATTCAGAGCATAGAAAGCAGCATGAAGTCCCAGGATTTATATCCGAGATTACTCCTGATTGAACACAAATCAACCCTAAATATAAACATCTCCATCTCTAGTATTGTGGTTTCTAGAACAATTGTTTAAAGATGAACACACACACACACACACACACACACACACACACACAAATTCTCAAGAGAGTAAACTTATGTGGACATGCAGGAAACCACTGTTGGTGAGGACTTCAAGATTCCTCTAAACTTTCGAGGATGTGATTAAATAGCAAACATAATCAAAAAGCGTCTTCAGTGGCCAGGTCTCTCTTTCTCATGCACATTTTGGTAGTGCCTTGAAAATATATCTCTGTTTATTAGATTTTTAGTTTTTGCTCTCAAGTTGTTAATTAATTAATTAGGTACTGCTATTCCTTTTTGGGTCTAATACTGTTAGGATAAGGGTCTCAAGGTTTGGGCACTACTTACTAAATATTATTCCTGCTAAATATTCACATACAGCACAATATTTTGCAGACCAGCTATAAATAGGATGAGCTTGACAGTCTTTCAATGAATAAATGTAGTTAACTGCAAAGAAGAAATCAACATGTAACTGACCACATACTGTATATAAGCACTGGATAAGTCTTCCTTTCAGGAGACGGGGCTTTGGATATGAATCTGACTCCTCTACTTGCTACAAGCAAGTAAAACTACCATGCGGCAACCATGTCTTATTTTTTCAAATAGAGGACCCCAAGTGTCAAACCCCTTGAGTTTGGTAACAATATTATGATCGGATAAAATATTTGGATGTACAAAACATACAATCTTGACCAAAATAAGAACTTTATTTTCCTATGCATGTGAACCCCGAGAAAGAAAATGCCCACTTAAAAGGGCTCCAGGTAGCTGAGTTCCAATTAAAAACAAACAAAACAAAACATACACAATAAAAAACAGCCTAGTAGGCATTTCTACACAGGGCCTCTCAAGCAAACTACTTTTCAGGAAGAAGCCTGCACTGAACACCTGCATGCACTGTGTTTCTGCTATCTCAGCCAGCCCTTATAAAGGAGTTTCTGGAATCCTATTTCAACCAATAGGACTGAGGTTTTCACCATCCAATCAGAGTTATGCAACTATATCGCTACCCACATCTTCACCAACCAATCAGAGCAGCTCCATTCTGACCAATCAGACAGGTGCTTTTTGAAACCAATCAAATTGTGAGGATTTGGAGTGCTCATTTGCATGAGAATGGACCAGTCAGGGACAAGGGGCAGGAGCTTGTGTTTATATGTCAGGTCCTTTCTGGCTTGAGGAGTATATTTTCCCTTTTCACCAAAGGCTAAAACCTGCTTTTTCCTGGCTGAGATGAAACACTGAAGCTGTCTGGTCAAAGCAGAGCTATCTAGCCAGAGAGGGACTTGGCCCCAGGGCCCACCCAGCCCCAGGGCTACCTCACAGCCATGCTGTTTTTATATTCAGTTGCATTACAATTGAGCTGTTTTGCACAGAATAAATTCACTTTCCTTCTTTACCACACCTCAAGTTGGGGATTCCCGTTGGTGCTGAATTGGCATCAGCCATTGGTTGGCATCACACATTAAAAAGAAACTGTCCATTAATGTATCATATGCATTATTAATTAAAAATATAACATTCATGTGCCATAAAATTAAATTTTAATATAGCCCTTGATCTGGTTACTTTTTCCAGGATAGTATAGCAGCTGGCAAACTATGGGCCAAATCTAGTCTACAGCATATTGTCAGTTAAGAATACCTTTTACATTTTTAAATGTTGGGGAAAAACAAAGAAAAAAACATATTTAATGATTTCCCATTTGAAAATTACATGAAATTCAGCATCTATCAATAAATTTTTATTGGAACATTTAGGTGTTGCCTGTTTGTCTGCTTTCACACTATAATGAAAATGGATTAATTTCATCCAAGACAATTGGCCTGCAGAACCTAAAATATTTACTGCTGTTCCTTTACAAAAAAGCAGCTGCCAAACCCTGGAATACTGGACTCCTTTACTTATATTATAGTTGAATTCTCAATCTTAATTTGGCTTCCTTCACTCTTCTCTCTGGTGGATCTTTAACTTCTTGATAAGATCGTCTTTTTTCCTTAGACGTATTTCCTGAGTTGGCTCATGTTACCTCTTCTTGTTCTGCTGATTTAAAAAAAGGTGTGAAGAAAATGATAGAAAATATACCAGGTTCCCTTTGATTTTGGAGGACATATGATCAGATCTGAGATTGAGATATGTATCGAGATTTAGACACTCTGTTAGACCTGGGTTATCCTAACCTTTTGTATTTTTCCCTTCTTGAAAAATACAAAACATTTTGTCCTATCCTGACCCTGTTTTATAATCCACTCACAATAGCTTGCTAATTGCTCAATAGTTTTGTTTGCTTCAAGGTGTAAATTTCACACCTTGCAGGATATTTAGAGAAGAGAATATCAACCCAGTAGTCATTTAAGAGGTCCTTTAGGATGCAGTGTGCCATCCTTTCTGTTTCTTTGTGGTTTAAGATAGAGTATTGCCATTTGATGCAGGACTACTCAGTAACCTATTTTCTGCCAGATACTTCGGTGATGTGATTTCTTGTCATCCAGATACTGCCTGTCCTAACGTAATGGTAGATTAAAATGAGTCTTGTTTCCTGCAGAAAGTAGCTGGGCATAGCAGCTTTGCTATCTGTAAACTCCTTTTGGATCTATATATAGCACAGTAAAACTAGGAAGAGAAGCAGTATGGACAACTGTAGAGCATCTTTCTTAGGTGTTTTATCCACAGGAACATCTTTGGAGCCGTGAAAGCGCTTCTGTAAGTGTTCTGAATGTGAATTTGTGCAATGTGTTAATTATTACTCTATTTATAGAATTTTTTTCTCATATACATTTTGGGGAAAATATTAATTAACTGTATGGTATTTTTAAATATAATGCATCCTGAATACATGTTAGATAGTGGATCAATTTTTATAGCACAACAAAGTATTTTAAAAAACAACTAATACCTACTGTGTTCCTTAAGTGTGTTAATATTCCTAAATTTTAGAAATGCATTTTGACATAAATATATATATATATCTTACCTAATAATAGACAAATTGACCAAACAATGGAACTACTGGTTGCTATGACATGCACTGACCACAGGGGGAAGACTCTCAATGCAGGAGCTGTTCCCTGATGGTTGGTGTGCTCCCTCAGAGGGAACATGCTCAGCCAGAAGTGCTGAGCCGGGCTCATGGCTGGCGAGTGCAGCGGCAGTGGTGGGAGCCTCTCCCACCTCTGCGACAGCGCTAAGGATATCTAACTGCCATCAGTCGGAAATCTCCCAGAGGGTTCCTGGTCTATGAGAGGGTGCAGGCCAGGCTGAGGGACTCCCTCGAGTGCACAAATTTTAGGCACCAGGCCTCTAGTATACTATAAAAATCTGATCATACATGCATCCTCTCATCCCCATATAAAATATTTGGCAATTCAAAGCAATATTAAATTAAAGGTGAAATTAAAGATCACACTTTGCAACTTAATTTCGATTTACATTTTAAACTAAAATTCATTAAAACATGTGGTAGCATATAAATAGCTCAGTTATGAAAAGGGTATTCACATATTTTCTGATCTATGATGAACATAACAGGATACATAAGATAGAGTAAATGCAGAGATGTGAATAATGTGCAGTTGAAGAGTAGTACCCTTTCCTACATCAATTTGCCATCTCCTTCAATAACCTTTCTCCAGGCAAAACTTTCGTAGGAGGATGAGCTGGCCTTAAATCTCAGTTCTCTGCAGGAGGCAGGGATCTTTGCCAGTAGCATCTCCTCTTACCTTGTAACACACAGTTGGCTGATACACTTTGACAAGCACTTATGCATGCTTCAAAATACTGGAAGGGGTCAATCTCTGCTAAAGCAGAATTTGCCTAATTGCTCCTGCTAGCTGCCAATGGGATTCTAGACAGCGTCATTGTGGAACAAAGCAGTATCAGGCTTTCCTAACTAATGACCTTTCAAAGCTCCACTCTCAAATACCTAAGTAGGAACTTCCCCCCTCAGCATAAAAAGTTAAGGTCATTAGGAGTTTGAAACTTTATTGGAATCTCTAATAGGATTTTGAGTTTTCAACAAAATAAATGATCACTTTGTTAACTATCACTGCCTCTCATTCCTTATCTCCATCGCTTTAATTATAATTTTCCTAAAACAATAATACTCGAGGCAATACTTTCTCACCTAGAGCTTTTCCTCTTTAGAATCAATGCATGTGAAATAGCTTTTCCCCTCATAGCTACAAGTTGAGGGTAGCAGCAATACGTGAATAAATCTTTTAAAAGCAAAGAGGCATATTGAAAGTGACTGAAAATTACTCCTTAAAAAGCAAATATAATAAAATTCATTATTTTAACCATGAGATTACTAACACAGAACTCCCTTCAGTCAAACATATGAGCATGACGACAATAAACACACACCCACACAATCAAAATGTTAGTAATTCATTCTAATTGTAGGAAAAGTCAGGTTGAGTTAATAAAGTTAGAATTACAGAATATTCTTGTGACAAAATTAGATTTATTCACCTAATTCCATAACAAGAATGCAAAGTAGCAAAGTGTTATAATAGATCTCTTTAGATTCAATGGAATAGTTCGTTATTGCTCTTGTTTCCAAAGGTTGCTTCTAAAACTATATATTCTATTTGTAGGTTAATGTTTTTCTTTAGGCTATTATTGATATTGTTGTAAAAGGAAGAAAAAAAAAGAAATGAAAGAAGTACTATCACCTTCATTCATTATAAGTAAGTAGGTACAGTGACTTGAACATAGAAAACACTCCAATACTGATTACATATATAAATACTTAAAGAACAAACATGTATATGGAATTGTGCTTATATTCCATGTATAATAAAGTTTGTTTACCTCATTGTTTCTATAACATTTATCAAAAGTAAATGGAGGTCCATATATAAATTGATAACAAAACACTACTATTTTTGCTTCTGGGAGATAACTGTGTGTGTGGTGTATCTGTGTGTATACATATATATACACACACACACACATATACATTTATATGCTACACACACATATATATATATAATCTATATACACATACTGTATGCTTTTGCATACATACACACACACACACACACACACACACACACACACACACTAGAAGCTCAGCACATGAAATCGCATGTGGTGGCCCACTGCTGCTTGCCACCCTGACTGCCTGCCACCCGCCTAGCTGCAATCACAGCCTGTGGGATCTGGGGGAGGGACCGAAAGGTGGTCAATACACCAAATGGCAACTGGTCAAGCAGTCATTCTGGTCATGATGCTTATAGCTTCTGGCCTTTTATTATTCTAATATACAAAATACCAGGGTCTATAACATCCAAAAAGACTGGCAACCCAGCACTGACAGCCACTGATGCCTGCACCCTGACCTAGCACTGACTGCCAAGGGGGCTGTGGCTCAAGCCCAAAGAGAGGCCAGGGGAGAGAGAAGCAGGGTCTGATCCATAGCCTCCATGGCAGCTATTAATCAGCACTTGCCACTCTCTTCACTCTGGGCCTGGCCAGCAGCCACACCTCTCTTTCTCTGGGGCCTCCACTGGGGCTGCTGATCAGCCCTGCCTCTCTGATCAGGTCCTTTGATAGGCCCAGAGATGCTGATTGGCATAAAACCGACTAATCAGAACCAAATCTGGGTGAAGTGCGAGGAGCCAATAACTGTCTAGGAGGTGGAGCTTTAATGGTGACTGGTATAGAAACTGACCAATCAGAACCTAATCTGGGTGAACTGCAAAGGCAGAGTGAGCTAAGGAGGGGTTTTAAGGGCACCAGTTATTTGGTATAAGGTGTTAGAAAGAGATTCAATTTTTTAATGACCCATTTGGCAGTATGTACATATGGCTGGCTATCAATCTAGATATAGGGATTATGTATTTTTTGTCTGCCAAGAACATCTCCTCCTGATGAAAAAGACTCCCCCCATCATGTAAGCAATCCTATCGTATATAATCTATCTATACTGCTAAAAGGGTAATATGCTAATTAGACCAGGTCAACTGGCCATCTTCTGGACATCTGATTTCCTTCCAGACAAAGCCATGCTGAGGCAGAGGCCATTAGGGGCAATCAAGATGGCAGGGGAGGGCAGTTGGGGG